CATTTATATTGGTTTTGTAGATTAAACTTGAAAGGAATTTGTATAGTGCACAGTTAAAACAGTTGGCTAATTGTTCACTGTTACATTTATTCCTGCATTCAAAGAGCATTTATTAACTACTTGTTGTGTGCTTTGGGAACGTAAAGAGTGCCGAGTGTCATTCCTATGTTCCAGAGGCATAGGTTTCCAGTCTAGCAATTAAGCTAGGAGAGATTTATGATGGAGGTGTTAGAAGATAACAGAAAGATATGGCCAGCTCTTCTTGGAAAGGTCACAGAAGGCTTCCTGGGACTTAAAGGAAGTGCAGTCATTCAAGAAGAAAACACAGAGAGAGCATTCCAGGCAAAGGGAGCAGTGGGTGTACAAGTCTACAAAAAGCCTGAAATGTTCAGGACACTTAAGTATGACTGGAACACAGAGTAGATTTTCGTTAAGGAGATAAGGCCTCCGAAGAAGTTGGCAAGGCTTAAGCCCACGTGCCACCACTCTTGTTCTCTGCCATCGAGAGGCCTCCAGCCCTTCTCAACACAGCATTCCAGGCAGCCACTGACATGGGGCTTGCACAGCCTGTGTGTGTGTCTTGTGCTAATGAGTGCAAACTCCTTCTGTCGACCAGCAGCTGCCCATGGAGTCAGAAAGGGTGTGTCCTCTCAGAAACACCCAGGAACAGGGTTTGAGATATGTTTTCATTTTGAGCCCGGTAATTTCTTCATGGGTATTCCTCATGTTTATTGTGATTTGCAATTTACATGTATGTTACTTTATATGTGTATGTGTAAAGTATTATATTCTAAGAAATAAAGAGAAATTATCTGTGGGGCTTTTTCATAGATGTAACTAAGGGTTGTGTTAGGGACAGTGATGCAGACACCACTCTCTTTAAGTCTTTTCAGATCACAGCACTGAAGGACTGTATTTTTAGCACTTGTTCTGAAAGCAATGATTTCTTTTTACATTACCTATTGTAGAGTTCTTTACAGTTTACTGTAGGTTTATTTTTAGCACTTGTTCTGAAAGCAATGATTTTTTTTTTTTTACATTACCTGTTGTAGAGTTCTTTAAAGTTTACTGTAGGTTTCTGGTCAAGAGCACATACCTCGGTTGAAGGTTCCATCCCTGGCCCTAGTCCAGGAGCATGTAGGAGGCAACCAATCAATGTGTCTCTCTCACATCAATGTTTCTCTCTCTCTGTCTTTCCTCCTCCCTTCCACTCTCTCTAAAAATCAATGGAAAAATACTAGTATACTCAGTCCAGGATTAACAACA